CCTGGGTTCAAGCAATTCTCCTGCCTCAGCCTCCTGAGTAGCTGGGATTACAGGCACGCGCCACCATGCCCAGCTAATATTTTGTATTTTTTTTAGTAGAGACGGGGTTTCACCATGTTGACCAGGATGGTCTCGATCTCTTGACCTCGTGATCCACCCGCCTGGGCCTCCCAAAGTGCTGGGATTACAGGCGTGAGCCACCGCGCCCGGCCTAGAACGAGGAATTCTATCTGTAACTGGCTGGAGATCCACTGAGGGGTTCACCACCTTCGGACCAGCCCCATTATTTCGCTTCATATTTGTTTATTCAGACTGTCGCCCAGGCTGGAGGGCAGTGGTGCGATCTCGGCTCACTGCAACCTCCTCCTGCCGGTCTAAGCGATTCTCCTGCCTCACCATCTGTAGTAGCTAGGACTACATGCAAGTGCCTGGCTAATTTTTGTATTTTTTTGTAGAGACCGGGTTTTACTATGTTGGCCAGGCTCGTCTGGAACTCCTGACCTCAAGTGATCCACACACCTCGGCCTCACATTTATAGGCGTGAGCCACCACGCCCGGCCTCACATTTATTTTTATTTATTTATTTTTTCAAGTCAGTGTTTCACTCTTGTTGCCCAGGCTGGAGTGCAGTGGCTCTCTCTCCATTCACTGCGACCTCTGCCTTCCCTGTTCAAGGGATTCTTCTGCTTCGGCCCCTGAGTAGCTGGTATTATAGCACTACCACACCTGGCTAATTTTGTATTTTTAGTAGAGGTGGGGTTTCTCCGTGTTAGTCGGGCTGGCCTCAAACTCCCAACCTCAGGTGATCCACCTGCTTTGACCTCCCAAAGTGCTGAGATTATAGATGTGAGCACCACGCCTGGCCTTGCATTTATTTTTGTATCTTCCTCTTTTAGTTTACCTAGGGCGTTGTTGATTGTTTGCACGGTACAGTTCTACATGTTTGACAGAGGCGCTGGGTGGTGGCCTGACTGCGCTGCCGTCCAGGTGCAGAGCCCCCAGCTTCCCTGTGCGCGCCTGTCCTCAGCCTGCCTGGGAGCTCTCGGCTGTTGCCCGTCTAGTCTTACCCATAGTTACACCCTTCTCAGAAAGTTGGGTAAATGGAATCAGCTGGACTTTGCCTTTTGGTCCTGGTGGCTTTCAGGCGGCAAAATCCATGTTGCTGCAGTTTTCAAAAGTTACCCTGTTTTTTTTGCTGACTGTAAATCCACTGGACAGTTGGAACACAGATTGTTTATCCGTTTGCCTGCGGGTCACAGGACTGTGGGCTGTTTCCAATTCTTGGTGATTAGGATGAAGCCTTGCTAAACTCCCCTGGTGGGACTTTTTGTGGAAGTCAGTGTTGGAATGGCAAGGTTCTCAGTGGACTGCCCGGTGTGTGCTAAGTGTCTGTTTAACGTCTCTGCGTCCTCACAGTTGCCGTTTGTCGGTGCTGAGAAACCCACTGGACCCTGACGTTGGGGCTTGGGGGAGTGGTCTTACCAGGTGCCTGTCATCTTTTCCCTGATAGTGAACGTTCCGGTGAAGGCAGCCCCCCACCCTGCCCCAGCGTGACCCTGCCTGGCCAGCGCCCCATCGTGAATAGTAAGGAGCGGGCTTTCTAGTGGTGGGCGGGCCTGTGCTGCTGTGCCGCGTCTTTCCCGCGCCCTCACTGGCCAGGCCCTGGCTTGGCAGGGTGTGCTGCCCTGGCGCCGTCTGCGTCCCGTTCCTGCTCTGGCTGGCCCGCTGCCGGGCCCAGCATGTTCATTCGCCCAAGTGCCAGAGGCAGCCTTCTGACAGCCCGCCGTGAGCGATGCTTGTCATATTCTTTTTTTTTTCTTTTTTTGAGGTGGAGTTTTGCTCTTGTTACCCAGGCTGGAGTGCAATGGCGCGATCTCGGCTCACCGCAACCTCCGCTTCCTGGGTTCAGGCAATTCTCCTGCCTCAGCCTCCTGAGTAGCTGGGATTACAGGCACGCGCCACCATGCCCAGCCGATTTTTTGTATTTTTAGTAGAGACAGGGTTTCACCATGTTGACCAGGATGGTCTCGATCTCTTGACCTTGTGATCCACCCTCCTCGGCCTCCCAAAGTGCTGAGATTACAGGCGTGAGCCACCGCGCCCGGCCCACTTGTCATATTCTTAGTTCCTGTTTAAGAATTTTGCTTCCCCACAAGAAGTGAAGGGGCAGTTCTGATTTTTTTTTTTTTTGGGATGGAGCTTTGCTGTTGTTGCCAAGGCTTAAGTGCAGTGGTGCAATTTCGGCTCACCGCAGCCTCTGCCTCCCGGGTTCAAACAGTTTTCCTGCCTCAGCCTCCCTAGTAGCTGGGATTACAGGCATTCGCCACCACACCCACCTAATTTTGTATTTTTAGTAGAGACAGGGTTTCTCCCTGTTGCTCAGGCTGATCTCAAACTCCCAACCTCAGGTGATGTGCCACCTTGGCCTCCAAAGTGCTGGGATTACAGGCATGAGCCACCTTGCCTGGCCCTTGGTTCTGATTTTCATGTGAAGAAAGTGGACTGTTGGAGTAGTGTATAGTCTCAGGGTCTGAGGACTGATGACCACACATTTGAAATGGCAGCACATTTACTCATGATTCATGATTCATTCCAGCAGCACTTACTGAATGCTCAGTGTGGTGGGGGCACAGAGGACAACGAGCTAGTATGCTC